TATTCTATTCTATTCTATTCTATTCTATTCTATTCTATTCTATTCTATTCTATTCTATTCTATTCTATTCTATTCTATTCTATTCTATTCTACTCTATTCTATTCTACTCTACTCTTATCCCTATCCCTATCCTTATCCTTATCGCTATCCCTGCATTTTAAACACTGTGCCACACTGAGCTATGGTGGCGCAGTGGTTAGAATGCCGTATTGCAGACTAATTCTGCCAACTGCCAGCAGTTTGAGTCTCACCGGTTCAAGTTTGACTCAGCCTTACATCCTTCTGAGGTTGGTAAAATGAGGACCTATCTTCTTGTGAGGGCAATAGGCAGATTCTGTAAATTGTTGCAAAGCACTGTGAAGCGGTATATAAGTCTAAGCGCTATTGCATTTATCATTAATTACTGTTAATGATAACTACTACGCCCCATTGTCTTCGTGGTATTGGCTTTAAGCCTTTATATATATATAAAAAAAACCACATTACTGCGGATTCTTGTAACTTGGGATTGGCCATTTCTCCCTGGGAAGACGAGTCATCTTCCCCAGTTCATGTCTCTTTAAAAGCTGGGGGGCAGGGAGGGAGGGAGACACTGCATGAGAGAGAATAGCCAGGATTAATTTTTTGTAGCGTTCAACTGTCTCTTCTGCAACGTGGCCAAGAGGCATTCGTTGTCCGGCATTCTCCTGGGAATGAGTTGTGAACGGATCTTTCTTTTTTCCTTGCAGGCAGTAAATGGGAAACCGCCTATAAAGGGTCCACGAGAGAACACATATGTACCCATCTCAAGCCTGGCGTTTGCTACAGGCTGAAGGTTTCCTGTGTTGGCAGAGGGGGACAAAGTCAGGTGAGGGCGAAGACAAATACGTCTTGGGGGGAAAAAAAAAATACAAGCCGAGTTTTATGTTTTGCATTTCTAAGGTATAAGTTGCACGTTGTCCTTCTTAAGATTGTGCTGTGGTTGGAATTTGGAAGGAGGAGATTGCAAGGATTTTCATACCTACAGAGTTAAGACAGGGGAATATAACAAATCTTGAGTGTCCTTGCCAGTTAACTGCTTTATTTGTTTTATAGTAGCCCTTGACTTACAAACAGTTCATTTAGTGACCGTTTGAAGTTACAAGAGCATTGAAAAGGGTTTTTCGCATTTATGACGGTTGCAGCGTTCCCCCATGGTCACCTGATCAAAATTCAGATGCTTGGCAACTTGACTCGCATTTATGGCGGTTGCAGTGTCCTTGGGGTCATGTGTTCCTCTTTTACAACCTGTTTGACAGGCAGAGTTGGATCCAGGATCCAGGTTGAGTTTAAGAACCATGTTACTAACTTGTAACAACTGCAGTGGTTCACTTAACAATGGTGGCAAGGTCGTAAAATGAGCAAAGTTCATTTAATTAAATGCCTGACTTAGTCATAGAAATTTTGGGCTCAGTTGAGGCCATAAGTTGAGGACTACCTGTATTTGTATTTATTTGGGATGTGGCTTTTTTTCTTTTCTTTTCTTTTTTTGAGTTGGGTGGCCCCCTGAACTTTGAACTAAATCAACAAGTAACTTGTGATTTCTTTTTTTTTAGCCATCTGATATACTCACTGTCCAGACCTCAGCTGTTCCCCCTGGGCCCTGTCATCCTCCGTGCCTGTCTGGCAAAGCCAAGCCTAAGGAAATTACTCTGCAGTGGGGTAAGGTCCCAAATCGTAAGAAAACAAGAGTATAAAAATATATAAGTTCAATAATTCAATTCGAATAAAATCACTGCGTAACCCAGAAGTGGGGCAGTAACTTCCCCATAGTCCCATCCAACCAACCCAGAGAGTTATGGGGGTTGTAGTTGTTGTTGAACACCACTTCAGAATATACAGTTTTTCCCACCCTGGAAACAAAATTGCCTCAATAATTCCTGTATTTTCCATCTCTCCAATAAATCAGAGAGTAGACGCAGCCCATTATATCGTAAGAGCGATATTTTTGTTGTCCCCAGAGGTTTTAGAACACGGTGAAATCCTACCAGTTCGGGGGAATGTTGGAAAGGCCCAATAAATTTTAAGTGGTGCTCTAAACAGCCACAAAAATCAACCAGGCCCATAGATAAGTATTACCCAAAAATAATAATAAAACAGATTGAAGGGCATAGCTCTTTTTTCCTCTGGAATTGCTACAAGGCTGGTTGAGCAGTGAGGCAGGGAGTGAGGCCAAAGGTATGGGGTAGAGGCATCTCTGGGGCTCTTCCTTGCAACGGGGGTCATTTTGTCCCCTCATTATTTTCTTCTTTTTCCGCGTTATTGATGACTGCTGGAAAAAAAAAACAGCAGAGCAGCAACCAACAAAAGATAAGGCCAAATTAATCCCCTCTCTGTTACATGATTAAATACAGTCTTCCTCATCGTTTTGCATAAGAACATGTCAACTTTGCAGATTCGGGAGGACAACAGTTGATCAGATAGGCCAAGAGATCTTGGATTAGATTTAGTTGAGAAACATTGTCGATGGGGAATCTTCTTCAAAACAGACTTGGACACTTCTTTGTCCACCACCACGAGGAAAGAGAGAAGATGGGAGGGAGAAAAACTAACTTGGAAAGGCCAAACATCCTTAGCCTTTTCTGATTTTCAGAGAACGGGGTTAGAGAGCGCCTGAGGGTTCATCATCTCCCAGCTGAGTGCAGATCCATTACAGTAGTACAGGGCTGTCAAACTCTCAAGGCCCCTGGGCTGGATTTGGCTTGTGATGTGGTTGGATTCTGCCTGTGGGCCAGGGGTGGGATGCAAATATTTTTACTACCGGTTTTGTGGGCGTGGCTAGGTGGGTGTGGCCAGGTGACTGGGTGGGCGTGTTTTTTTTGGCAGCAAACACCCTCCCCCCCCAGCCTCTCCCGTGCGCCCCTTTTTGCCTCCTGGGCCTTAGGGAAGCTGCCTGGGCGAAGCGGTAAGACAGCGAAGGGGAGCCCAGCATAGCTGATAGTTGGAACAGCCGACCATTGGGAGAAAGAGGAAATATCGGTTCGGCCAAACGGTAGCATTTTTTTACTATTGGTTTGCCCCAACTGGGCCGAACTAGTAGAATACCACCACTGTGTGGGGCCATCCTGGAAAATGTAAGGAGCTGGTGCACATCGCTTCAGCCCAGTCTACCCAGTGCAAAGAGGAAACATGCCAGCAGTTTGGGGAGTGGTGTCCAGCTGGCTACGCCCACCCTGTTGGTCACACCCACCCAGTCGGCCACGCCCACCCGGTCCCCCGAGGTCAGCCACAGCCCTGAGTCGTTCCTCAATGAGGGTTGTGAGTTTGACACAACCCTGCAGTAGTGTTTTTCAAACTTGGCAACTTTAAAGCTGTGTAACTCCCAGAATTTCCCAACCGGCAACATTAGAGCTTCTTTTACAGATGACTCCCGTGAAGTGAAACCACAAATCGGTGGCACCTCCGGACTGAACTTTTCATAGAAGAAGCCAATGTGGTGAAGCATCCTCTAGACCAGGGATCTCCCACCTTGGCCACTTTAAGACTTTGTGGACTTCAACTCCCAGAATCCCTCCTCCAGTCATGTTAGCTCAGGAATCCTGGGAGTTGAAGCCCACAAGTCTTAAACTTGCCAAGTTTGAAGACCCTTGCCTTAGAAAGAGCGATGAGAAGAGCAATAAAGACGATAAGGCTCAATCTCATGATGAATGACTAAGACAGCGGTCCCCAAACTTGGTAACTTTAAGACTTGTGGACTTCAACTCCCAGAATTCCCCAACCAACCAGATATCAAAGTCGCCATGTTTGGAGATCTCTGCTGTTAGAAGTATTTTGTTCACGGTCTTGTCCTGTTTTGCAGATCCTCCTTCCGTCAATGGGGGCTCAGAGATATCGGAATACCTACTAGAAGTGGCCAACAGCGACCAAGAAGAACACCGGCAAGCCTACCGTGGCCAAGCTTTGGAATGCACCGTGAACGGACTTCTTCCTGGGAGGACATACTGCTTTTGGATACGGGCAGCCAACAAAGCAGGGGTAGGCCTTTGGGGTCTTGCTAGAGAATAATCCGTTGGTTTAAAGCAATGGTTTTCAAACGTGGCAACTTCCAAGGTGGGTGGACATCAATTGCCTGAAGTCAGGGTTCCAGCAGTCGCTCTAATTAAATCATGGCTCTCCAGCCAAACTTCAATAAACTTCAGTAAACTTCAATAAACTTTATTAGAGGCGACATACTGGCCCTGCCCTGTATGAAGCCGACTCTGGCATATGTCATTTACAGTTCCCTGTGACCCTGTTTCTCCCCTCCTCCCTGGGTGTCTCATAAACCAGATTCTCCCATTGAGCCCGTTCACAGGCTGGGTGTCATCGAGGGCAAAAGCTCTAGGATTTTAATTAAAAGAATTTTAAAGATAAGAATTGGAATGTACATTCGCTTTCAAACTGCTGCACTGCTTCTCCAGATTTCCTTCCTCTCCACCCCCCCCCCCTCCCTTTTTTTAAAATGGAAACTACTAAAACAGGCATAGAAACGTTTTGTGAGTTGACACCTGATGGCCCAGTTAGTTGGGGAGTTCTAGGCATTGAAGTCCGGTCCTTCTTAAAGTTGCCAAGTTTGAAAAAGCCTGTTCTGACCCAAAACCCTTTTCCAATAAAACAAACACGAACCAAAGGGAACAGAAACCTTTTAATAAGCACGAGCCTCGCCAAAACTGTGCGAGGCTGCCAAGAATCACAGATAAGAAATATTTTACAACCCAAAAGCCTTCAAATGCCAACTTAAGAAACTGCAATGTCCACGAGGCTGGAGTCTCAAAACGTTTTTGCTTCCTACAAAGAACGTTTGCTGCACAGCTGGCTTTTATCTTCTTGAAGGAGGGGCCATTACTTGCAGCCTTACTCCCGAGTTGCCCGTGGTGTTGTAGCTGCTCTCTCCTACGAGCAACCCTGCACGCACATGCACTTGGCACAGGCTCCTCGGGAACCTCCTCATTGCTGCTGCCAGCCCCCACAATCTCTGAAGGCAGCAGTCCACCCCCTAATGGTCCTGGCCCCTCATCTGAGTCCTCGCTCTCCTCAGCCGTCCACACCTGCTGCCAGCTCACCACAAGAAAGAGCCCAGTTTAAAGCATCCGCTGGTACAACACTTGTAGACTGTTCAGGAACAACTCAAGTCTTGAACTCTGAATAGCTGGGTGGAAGTAGGCAGCTATATGCTTTTTGCAAACATTTTCATTAGAATCCTGGAGAATTTTGAAAGCTGCTCAGGGAAGGAGAGGCTGAGCCTGACCCGATGGAGAAGACTTGCATCCTTGGTCTACTGTAGTTAAGGAACGATTCCGCATTCTGTTTTTCCTGAGAAAGCAGGGAATTTTAGCTCCTGTAAAGGAGAAAGAAAGTCAGTGGGAGAGAAAGTTTAGCTTCTTGGTTCCTCTCCCCTCCACCACCACCCCTTTCCAGTGGTGGGTTGCTGCATGGTCACGTGGGTTTGGTCAAACCCTTAGTTGTGACCACTGGCTGGGCCTGCCCACCTGCCCGTGTGCTATTCTTTTCATATCTAAATAAGTTTCTGGCTCATTCCCCCCCACTCACATTGCCCCGCTGAGTTCCATGCCGTCCCTGCTGGACTCACCGGAGCTGCCTGAGTGGATTAGCTACATGTTTGAAGCTCCATTTCAGTCCCCAAGGGGCGCATGCGTGGGCTCTCACAACCCGCGAACCGGCTGTGAACGTAAGTGCAGCCTGCCTCTGCCCCCTTTCCCAACAGCCTTTGGATGAGGGAAGAAAAAGGCACGAAGGTTGGGTCTTTCTGGAACGAGCATCCCTCAGATAGTGATTACATTAGGAACCTTAGAGCTGATCAAGGACGTTCCTTAGTAGTTTTCATCTGGATGGGCTTAAAGGTTTCTTCCTGGGGCACAAGGTCAGAGGCGCCCAGCAGGAAGAAGCCCTTAGAATGATCAGATTTGGGGCTCTGCAGATAATAAACTATTTGGACTGATGGAATTGCAGATAAAGGTGTATTCCTTCGACTTAACACCACCTTCAAATGTTATTGGAGCAGAACAAGATTAGGCACGGACTGTGAAACTGGTACATGGGCTGAGTCTAAATCAAGGCCAGAAACTAAACTTGGCGGGTTTGTTGGAGACTGGAGACCCTTTTTGTTCACCAAACCTATAAAGAATCTGTTGGGAAGCCAGTGATGTTGTAATGGTGGAGGTTCTTCGATATGTATTGACTTGGTCCATCGCTCAGCATTTTTATAATTTTAAGGTACTTTTCCCCCTGCAGCTCGGCCCTTACTCAGAAAAGGCAGAGATCTCTACAGCTCCAGGGCCCCCCGATCCATGTTCCACCCCACTCTTAACGTGCAAAACTGCTACTTGTGTAGTAGCTACATGGGAGGTAGGTGGTTTTTCTCTCCCCCCTCCCCCCCTTTCCTTCTGTATAAATGCAATAAATAAGCTTTTTTTGGGAAGACTATTCTATAAATCAGAAACTGACTCTACAGAGTGTCTGGGGTTGACCAAGTATGTGGCATACTTTTGGAATATTCCAGAGCTTTTTTTTTTTCTTTCCGTTTTTTCCATGTTGGAGGCACTGAAGTGCTCTTGCGGTGAAAGGATTTGCCAGTGACATGGCTGTTGCTAGGTGGAACACCCCATTGGGGACTCCTTTTGCATCCCTGTGAGGTTGCCTGCTGAAGTGGTACCCATTTATCTAGTTGCAGTCGCCCGCTTTCAAACTGCTGGATCGGCAGGAGCTGAAGTATGTGTGACGGGAGCTCACCCAGCCCTCTGGCAGCAACAGGTCTCAAACGCGAGCCTGACAATTATCAACCCAGCATTCTAGCCTCGTGAGCCACCGCACTCTTAAAAAATAAATAAATTCCACAGCTAAGATTTGGGGAGCAAGACCTACTTCCTCTTTTAGCCTCTCTTAGCATCCCTTCTTAGCTGCCACACCGCATCACAACACTTCTGAATGACGTCTGTGACCTTTCTTGCTCCTTGGTGGATTTGTGATCCTTAGGAATGTCCCCAAAGGGCGGGATTATGATTTAGGGCTTGCTAGCTTCCCATTTTCTAGGTACTTAAGGCAGTAGATATAATAATCTGAAGTGAAGCTGCAAACTGCAAAATAGCTACCAAGTGGATTGAACAAGGTAGAATACACCCCAAAATTGACTTTACGAGAGGAGAAAACCACCAGACATTTGGTCTTCAGGGCCAAATACCATGATCAACCCATCTATTTATGTCCCAGGAGAGATCCTGGAGGTCCTTTTTAAACCCTAGATAGGGCCTCTCTGAAAGACAGGGGTGTGCTTCTAGTTTCTCCTAGCAGGCCCTCTTTCGCAGAATGTTTGAATTCCAACCCCACATCAGTAAACAAAAGTGCCGTAGCAATCTTTTGTGAAGTTCATCTGCAGTTTACAAATGCAAAATGCTAACTTCTCAACCTTTTCTTTCTTCTAACCTCTCCCAAGAGCCCACCATGCAATGGGGCAGAAGTTAATGAATACAGACTAGAATGGGGGCAGATGGAAGGATCTATGCATATCGTCTACACCGGCCCTCTGCTGTGCTACGAAGTGAAGGGGCTCTCCCCTGCAACTACTTACTATTGCAGAGTACAGGTACGTGTAGATTTGGGAAGCAGCAATTTTTTTTTTTCCCCTGAAATTTTAAAACTTCACATTATGTTAAGACCCTCAGCTATGTTTCGTGATGAAAATAAATTGAAATTTTTTCAGTGCTGGTGGGAGTCTGAAACTTCTCAACTGATTCACTGCTATGCAAAAAGAAAAAAGGATACTGTTGTTTTTGCCATAACGCACGCTTGGAATAATGGATTTCTTGGAATGTAATGTGGCTGAATTCCATATTTTGAAGAAATGTCTATGGAGATTCTCAGTCATCCAGGACATGGTTGTCCCAAAGGTGCAACTATTCTCTGAAGACCTTTTGCTTCTCTCCAAGAAGTTTCTTCCATTCTGACTGAACGGTGGGAAATGAAGGATTTATAGGAGAACTGGCCACACCCACAGAACCAGTTAGTGGTCCCTGCGATCTAAAATTATGAGGTTGGTGGCTCCTGAGGTCCAAAAGGTTGGCGACCCCTGATCCTGAGGACACAGATAAACCGCCAAGTGACCTCAATGTCTCTCTAAACAGAATGCAAATGACCAGCTGTCTTGCAAGGAGCATAAATCCTTCCATTCCCCACCATCCAGTCAGAACTGGATAAGCTTCTTGAATGAGAAGTGAAATGTCTTCAAAGAAAAACAAAGAAGTCCAGTTGCCTCTTGACAAAGCACTTTTGGGACATATTTTGAAGAATAATGAACAGAAGTTGCCTTCAGAAGTTGTGGGAGCTTCATCACTTGATACCTTCAAGAAGAGACTGGAGTGCCATTTGTCAGAAATGATGTAGGGTCTCCTGCTTGGGCTGGGGGTTGGACTAGATGACCTACAAGGTCCCTTCCAACTCTGTTAATCTGTTAAAATAAATCCAAAACATCTGGAGAACATTGTGCTGAGGGGCCTAGATGCAGATGCTTGAGACTTCATACTATGTAAGGCCCAGAGCTCTCTCCCCTTCAGATGATAAGAATGAACTTTTGAAAACTGGGTATTTCAGAAGGAATTCTTTATTGAAAAGGAAGATAGCCAGATGATGTTCAAAGCAGGGTCTAATATCCCTCCATGCATGCAGCTTAGATAAAGGGAGTTGGAACCCTCCCCTTAGTCTGATGCGGATTTTGTCAGTACAAAGAAGCAACGTGTTAATTCCCTTTTTTCTGGGAAGGTGGTTGAGAAGAGTTGGTCCTAGGAAGTTTCTTTCAGAGCTAGAATTTTTATGGCCCCTTCTCCTCTTGCTATCTCTCCAAGAGGTGACAAGTTTCCAGGCACCTGGGCTCCAGTCCCTAGTTGTATATCATGTGCAAGTTATACAGATTCAGTACAAGAATTAAGACATTCAAAAAGGATTACTTGTATCAACCTCCCCTCCTTCTTCCATTGAAGAATGGCGTACACACGGATCTGACACACTTGTTCTTCACGCTCTTCTCTCCTGTGTGTGTGTTTTTTAGGCGGTGAATCTGGCTGGTCCCGGGCTATTTGGGGAAATCAGCACCGTGACCACGCCGGCTTCGGTGCCAGCTGCGGTGGCTGTATTGAACTTGCTGGAAGAAGACCAGTTGGAAGGTCCTCTTCCGCTCTCCACGTGCCTTGCTCTTCACTGGGAGGAGCCTTGCTGCCACGGGGCAGAGATCATTGGCTACCACATAGAGTATGGGGAGAAGCAGGTCTTAACGGTCAACAAAGCCACAAGCCATGTTCTGGAGAACCTGCAACCTGACACTTTCTACAGGTGATTGGCGATTTATGATCCTAGGAGCGGGGGCCCCCGGCTTGTGGTCTGAAGACCTTTATTTAGTAAATTGGCATGCTCTGCCCACCTCACTGTCACTCTGGGTGGCACATAATGTCTTTAAAGGAAATCCTCAATTGGCAACACTTCGTTGAGTGGCCGTTCAAAGCTAAAAACGGCGCTGAAAAAATGTAAGACCGGTTTTCATGCTTGTCTGCCATTTACAGCGTCTCCATGGTCTGTAGTCACGCAATTATAGACCCCACGATCACGGTCACGTGACCCAAAATCAGATGCTTGGCAACTGACTCACGTTTATGACAGTTGCCGTGTCCCGGGGCCATGCGGTCACTCCCCTGGGGCGACCTTCTGACAAGCGAAGTCAACAGGGAAAACCAGATTCCTTTCCTGACCATGTTACTAGCTTAACAGCTTCGGCGATTCCCTTCAACCTATGCTTTGCAAAATAGGTCGTAAAATTGGGCAAAAGTCATTTAACAACGGTCGCACTTAGTTCAGCAGAAGTGCTGGGTTCAATTGCGGCCATAGGCCAAGGACTGCCTTTAAATTATTTTAATTTAATTTAATTAAATCATAAATTAAACGTATGAATCTTGACTCTTGATGAATGTATCTTTTCTTTTATGTACACTGAGAGCTTCTGCACCAGAGAAAAATTCCTTGTGTGTCCAATCACACTTGGCTAATTAAGAGTTCTATTCTATTCTAATTCTAATTCCATTCTCTATTCTGTTCTGTTCTATTCTATTCTATTCTATTCTATTCTATTCTATTCTATTCTATTCTAATTCTATTCTTATTCCTATTCTATTCTTATTCCATTCTTAATCCATTTTCCATTCTATTCCTATCCCATTCTCCATTCTAATCTTATTCCACTCTACTCTAAATCAGAGCAAAGATTCATTCATTTAGTCCCTCCATGTCTACAGCCTTCCTCTCATACAAGTTTCTCCTCTTCTCCTAACATCAACTTTTTATCTCTTTCACTCCCGGATAGAATCCGAATCCAGGCCTTCAACAGCCTTGGGACTGGCCCTTTCAGCCCATCCATTAAAGCGAAAACCAAGCCTTTACCTCCAGATCCTCCACACCTGGAATGCGTGGTCTTCAGTTACCAGAGCCTTAAGCTGAAGTGGGGGGAAGGTCCTAGCCGAGCTTTGATCGCCAATCCCACCCAGTTCAATTTACAGATGGAAGACCGGCTGGGCAGGTGAGACCAGACTTGGGAATACCTTGGCCTCTTTGTCTCTGGGCTCAGGCTATGGAGGGGGGAAGAGTTTCCTTGAAGTGGCAGCTCAAGGTTTAGAGAAACAATCAATGTACCCAAATCTGCAAGACACGGAGAACCAATGAAAAAAACTGCCCTCCTCTTTATTGGAGGCATGATGGCATTCTGCCGGTTCGACCCAATAATAAAATATCCTCCCGTTCAGCCAAACTGGTATGAACCAGTATTTCTTTTCTTTCTTTTTCCTCCTGACAATCGGCTGTGCTGGGATCCCCCTCGCTGTCTTACTGCTTCGCCCAGGAAGCTTCCCTGAGGCCCAGGAGCCTCCCCCTCAAAAAAAACCCAGTGCAGGTGTGTGTGTGTGTTGCAAAAAAAGGAGAAGCCACACCCACCCAGTCCCATGGCCACTCCCACCTAGTAAACTCCCCACAGAACCGGTAGTAAAAAATATTTGCATCCCACCCCCGATCCGAGGTCTCCAAACTTGGCGACTTTTAAGACTTGTGGACTTCCAACTTCTAGAATTTTCTGGCTGGAGAATTCTGGGAGTTGAAGTCCACAAGTCTTAAAGTCGCCAAGTTTGGGGATCCCTGTACTTTATCTTCAGTGTCCTCTGGAGGACTACTTATATCGTCATAATACTCCCCCAGAATATTTTTTTATGAGGTTCCCATCATCTAATTGAATGCCTAGCACTTACACTCCTTAGATGTGCCACAGACACTGAATGGTGTAATCAGGGAGATAACAGAATGACAGAGTTGGAACAGAGGGACCTTGGAGGTCTTCTAGTCCAACCCCCTGCTTAGTCAGGTGACACTATACCATTGCAGACAAACGGCTGCCCAATTTCTTCTTGCGTGAACGTGTTCAATTGAGGGCAAACGAAAGGCAGCACATCCAAACCCAAAGATCTGATGAAGTGTACTTATTTGGGATTTATTTCTCTGACACTTTCCATTAAGAAAAGAACCCCATTTCACATCTGCCATGACAAATGGATGAAAGCAAATATTTAATTGGGGAAATAAGTCTTCATGCACGTCTAATAAATCTTGTGGGAGCGTGAACTTTATAGAGATTTTTGTGCTTGGATTGTTGTTTCAGTCTTCGCCGTTTGCGGATAGATGATGTTTGTGGTTTGCAAGGTCACGGTGACAGCTGTCACGGTCAAATTCAAGCTAGTGGTGATGTGTGGCACATTGTCAGACAACAACAGCTGTTTTAGCCCGTGTTGTGGACATGAATGACACTCAAATATTGGCTGAAAGTCCGTAGAGATTCTCAGTCATCCAGGTGCTTTTCGGAGGAGGCAACTGGATTTTGTTTTTGCTTTTCTTTGAAGACGTTTCGCTTCTCATCCAAAAAGCTTCTTCAGCTCTAACAGGATAGTGGGGAATGGAAAAATTTATATTGCTTGCAGACAGGTGGTTATTTGCATCCTTTTAGAAAGCTGTTGAGGCCAGTAGGAGGTTTGTCTGTGTCCTCAGGGACACCCGAGTGGTGATCCGGTTCCTGCAGTCTACAATTTTTTCCCTCTGGAAGTACATTCCTATTCCCACACCATTCCAAAGATGTTCATCCCAAATTGTATAGCTAAAAGTCTGTAGAGATTCTCAGTCATCCAGGTGATGGTTGTCCCAAAGGTGCTTTTTTCAGGAGGCAACTGGACTTTCTTGATTTTTTTTGTTCGAAGACGTTTCGCTTCTCATCCCAGAAGCTTCTTCAGCTCTGAGAATGGGGGAAGTGGAAGGATTTCATTCTGCAAGGAGTATAAATCCTTCCATTCCACACTATCCTGCCAGAGCTGAAGAAATTTCTTGGATGAGAAGTGAAACATCCTCAAAGAAAAAAAACCAAGAAAGTCTCGCTGCCTCCTGAAAAAGCACCTTTGGGAAAAACAACTGTCTGAGTTTTGGTTTTACTGGCTGAATCAGGAACGCTTAAGTACAGTATTTCACTCTTTGGAATTTAAAGGATGTTATCTTTGATACGCCAAGCCTGTCAGGGTGGCCTGCATGATTGGAGGATTGTCCCAAAGGTGCTTTTGCAAAGGGCACCTGGACTTGTGTTTTTGGATTGGAAGGTTAGAGAGTTCAGAGTATTTTTCAGATCTTTTCTCTCTTCCCATTTCAGGTTCATCACTGTCTACAGTGGACCTTGCCACACCTATAAAGTGCAGCGGCTTAGCGAGTCTACCACGTACTATTTTAAAATCCAGGCCTGCAACGATGCTGGGGAAGGGGAATTTTCCGAAGTTTACGCCTTTGCCACAACCAAATCACCACCGCCTGCCATGAAAGGTGAGGGGCATCGAGCGCATATGATCAGTGTTCATAAACGGAGGGAGATTTGACCCCTTAAAAGGGGAGGCTCTTCAAGGCATAACTCTTTGTTTCTGCTTTGATAGGTGATACACTGTGTGTGTGTGTGTGTGTGTGTGTTTGATGGCCAATATAGTTTTGGAAGAAATTAGATTGATTTAGTTAGGGGTCGGCAACCTGCGGCTCTGGAGCCACATGCAGCTCTTTTGGCCCTCTGCTGCAGCTCCCTATTGGCTGATCCCACCTCTGGCTGGCCCCTCCCCTTCTTGCCTGGCCAGAGGAGGTAAGGGTGATGGCAGGGGATGGAGACTCGCTCCATATTGCAGAGCAGGAGGTGACTGGGTGGGAGTGAGTGGCGTTCCGTTGGCCACGCCCACCCAGTCACACCGGTTGTTAAATTATCAGCTCCCGGTGTTTTCTTTTGTGTGAGAAATAGATCCAAATGGCTCTTTGAGTGTTTAAGGTTGCAGACCCCTTGATTTAGTTAAAGGCGGGAAGTTTCTCTTCCTGTCACTTTGCTTCAGAAAAAAAAAATGTAGGTGGCCCTCAAATAAAGCGCACAAAATGAACTGAAATGCAGAATGCACCAGTCTTCCCAAACTTTATCCTTAATTATTCAGAATTACTTATTTAAAAAAAAACCCCTTATTTAAATATCCCCGTTGTGTAAATGGGTTTGTGTCGTTTCCCGAAAGAAAAATCGCTTTTACCCAATTTAGGGTAATGCACACCCAGATTCAAAGGCTTCCGTATTCTTCATAATCTCCTCCGGAAGAGAGTAAATAATATGCAGGCAGTTCTTGATTTACAACCATTTGTTTTGTGACCAAGGTTACGATGACACTGAAAAAAAAAGGGGACTTAAGGGCCGTTTTTCACACTTATTTTGAGCCTTTGCAGCACCCCTTGATCAAAATTCGGATGCTTGGAAACTGGCGGGTATTAATGACGGTAGCAGTGTCCCGGGGGTGTGTGTCATGTGATCTCCTTCGGCGACTGACAAGCAAGATCCATGGGGGAGGCCAGATTCCCCTTAGCAACCGTGTGACTAACTTAACGAAGGCAGTGACTCTGTGGTAAGAAAAGCCACAAAATGGAATGAAACTCAATTTCTCCGCTGAGCAGTGGGAATTTTGCGCTCAATTTTGGTCATAAGTCAAGGACTACCTGTAACACAGTGGGAGAGTATCAAGAACGGGGCATTCCTTTGGTGGCATAGGAGCCCACAGTGGCCCCGTGGTTAGAATGCAGTACTGCAGGCTACTTCGGCTGCCTACAATTTGGCAGTTCAATCCTGACCGGCTCAAGGTTGATTCAGCCTTCCATCCTTCCGAGGTGGGTAAAATGAGGACCCAAATTGTTGGAGGCAATAGGCTGACTCTGTGAACTGCTTAGAGAGGGCTGTAAAGCACTGTGAAGGGGTATAAAGACTTATTGCTATTGCTATTAAGAGCAGTAGTGGTGTTGTGGTTAGAATGCAGTATTGCAGGCTAATTCTGCCCACTGCCAGGAGTTCGATCCTGACCAGCTTAAGGTTGACTCAGCCTTCCAGCCTTCCAAGATCGGTAAAATGAGGACCCAGATTGTTGGGGGCAAGAGGCGGACTCTGTAAATGGCTTAGAGCAGAGGTCTCATTCTCGTGGCCCGCGGGCCAATTGCAGCCCGCAGGATGATATCCTGTGGCCTCCACCGTGATATGAAAGTATAATATTAGTGTATAATATAAATATAAAGTATAATATTATGCGGCCTAGCCTCACCCAGACTCTGCCTCCAGCGGCCCCCAGGTAAATTGTGTTTGAGACCCCTGGCTTAGAGAGTGCTGTAAAGCACGGTGAAGCGGTATGTAAGTCTTAAGTGCTTGTCAGGTGAGGCTCCATTCAAAATTCCAGAAAGAAACCCTTAAGAGACTCCATTGTTACAGAGAAAAGGACTTCTATCGCTATTGCTGTTCCAAAGCCTTAATTTCAGCAGCACCTTCCTAAATTATTTCCACATTGGGAATAGAACCATCATTGTAAAATTAACCTGCCAAGCAAGAAGCTCAACTGGATGGAAGAAGAGTTGGAGGACTAGATCTTGGTACACTGACCCTAAACCAAGTTGCACTTGGAAACGTGGCTTAAGTTCATTCAGGGAGAGGGGATGCATGCTGTATACTCTTCTTAGCTAAAAGGAGGACAATGCACAGCATGGATGTTTTAACTTCCACCTTGTTCCAACTTGCAGCCCCCAAAGTCCATCAGCTGGGAGACAATGTCTGTGAAGTCACCTGGGAGCCTTTACAGCCAATGAAGGGTGATGCCATTGTTTACATATTGCAGCTTGCCACTGGGAGGGAAGCGGATCAGGTAATCCCAGAATGATCCTTTCTTTTCTTTTTTTTTTACAGATATTACGGGGAAACCCCCTCCCCCCCAAATACAGTACTTCTGAATGCACTGTTATAAAGTAGGGGCATCCAATCTTTGCCATTCTAAGCCATTGGCCATCTGGGGGTTTCTGGGAGTTGAAGTCCACAAGTCTATTGCCAGGGTTGGACACTTCTGTTATAAAGGGACCTCATTATCACAGGAATTGTCGAGCGGCAGGGAAATCGGGACATCCAGCCAGTTCAAACGAGCATAAAGATTTATTGCGAGCTTAAGCTGTTGACAAGAATCTGAACTACTAACAGTCAAGGGAAATTGGCAGTAGATAAGTCGATGGAATTCAAGGGCTAGATTTAGATCTCTCGTGGGCATGAAGGGACTCATGACTAATGACACATTTGACCCCTTGGGCTCAGCCTGGTCCTCTCCTCCGCAATCAAACCATCCCTCTTCCCCAGTCAAACTGTCAGGGGGCCTCTCAGAATAAGTTGAGTTGGAAGGGACCTTGGAGGTCTTGCAGTCCAACCCCCCAAAGCAGATTTCAGACAAACAGCTGTCCAGTCGGGCTGAATCTAGGTGCGGTGTAACTTATTATTCAAGTCTATGCTCTTGGAGCATTGCCCAAGATTGCCAAACATTGGATGAAGTGTGACCGTTCTTTAGTGGTAGACCCATCTTCTTTTCAACTAGAAAGCCCTAAGATTTCTTGGAAGGGCCAGAAAGGCCTTCTGCCTGAACCTCAAGATGAGAGCCGCTGCCAGTAAATGTGAGCGGTATGGAATACATAGGCCAGTGTATAGGCCTTGTAGGTCAGTATAAGGCAGTATTTAGGATGCCCAGCAGAGGTTAGCTAGCAGTACCAAGAGACACGTATCCACATCTTTCAAGAACCAGGTTCTGTGCCCCGTCTGATGTTTTAAAAAGCGACCTGCCCCAGAGCAAAAGGCCAACTCCAAGTGTAGCTTTTATTTCCCAATAACTGCACTGCCGAGTGGGTTTGAAGGTTGCCCACCTGTCTTCCTCGAAGCAGAGAGCAGCTTAGATAGGAGCACCTAGGGCTGTGATGGTGAACTGCGATGGGTGACTCTGCAATGCAGAGCCATTTGTGTGGGCACGTGAGCCCCAGCCAAACTTACTTGCACTGCGCATCTGCGTGGTCTCCCAGCTGATTTTTGGCTTCCCTGAGGCTCAAGGGAAGCCTTGGGAGGCCGAAAAAGGGGCGTTCCGGAAATACCAGAAGTGATGAAACGGACCCTTTTTCAGCCTCCTGAGGCTCCAGAGGCTTCCCTCAAGCCTCCAGGAGATCGAAAACGGCCTCAAATGGGCCAAAAATCAGCTGGGAGGTGCATGCACGCGCAGTGCGGGTTAGGGAGTTGGGGCGGTTGCGCATGCATGCACAGGAGGGGGGCGGGGCGCATTGCATGGTGGGGGCCGGCATCCACGCGCACTTTCGGCACACCACAACAAAAAGGGTCCGCCATCACTGGCCTAGGAAGGCCATGCAGTGAACATCAGCGACCTTGCTCCCTCTGTTTTCATTCAGTGGGGGGTTCCAAAGCTTTCCATATACCGGTTTTGGGGGACCGGTCCAGAACTTCTCAGAATTTCCAGTAGGCCCCCCCCAAAGATGGAAGGTTTCTGGCTTTGTGGAACTCTGTTGCCTTGTTCTGCCATCTGACCGGGTGTCTTTCTCCTGTTCCTGCCTCAGATCTACAAGGGACCTGAGACTTCCTATCGCGTCTCCAACGTGCAAACAAACTGTGAATACCGATTCAGGGTGTGCGCTGGGCGCCAGTATCAGGACTCCACGGGGTGGCAAGAACTCTTCGGCCCGTACAGCCCAAGCGCCGCCTTCTCATCTCAAAAGCAGGAGCTGCTCCCGCCGTCTTCGGACCCGGCTCCGGAGCTCCTGAAGAGCAAGCGGAAGGCGCTCAGCGACGAACAGTTTGCGTTCCTGCTCCTCGTCATCTTCGCAACGGTTGCCATTTTGTTCGCCGTCATCATTCAGTACTTTGTGATCAAGTAAGTTGGTAGCCACGGAGAAGCGACTTCATCACTCAGCTTATAATTTTTCATACGGAAGTTTTACGCCTTGGGTATTTATGTAAATTCCCGTTCAGATGCTAACTGGGAACGATGGAATAAAAAGACACGCCTTTCCATTTTTGCTGCTGAGTAACAGGTTGGATGGACAGGGTGCCTTCTCCCAACCCCTCCCCCCTCCCCCCTCCCCTCCTGTCCTTCCCATCCACCAACTTCCCCTTCAGGGGCCGAAGAAAGCCGGGGAGGGGGGGGGCGCGGGGAGGGGGGGAGAGGAGGAAGGGCAGACGGACTTGAAGAACATCCCTATTTACAGCACGGTGGTGCATCTTCTCATCAGGGTTAGCTGTTGAAAAAACAGCCAAAAAACAAAAAAACCTGCCTTAATTCTCAAGAGTTTTGACTTAATTTTCACAGCGAGTCCTGAATTCTCAAAAGCCGAGCGAGAAGGGAGGTGCAGGAGGCGAGCCGGCTGCTGCTCTAGCATTTGGGGGACCATGAGATATAGCGGCAAAGATCCTTATTACGCTTTAAAAAAAGACAGTCCTGTATTCTAGGATGCAGCACCAGGAAAACCATCTGTAGTGGAAAAAGAAACCCTACCCAAATATTGTCCACAATGACGTTCAGAGGTAGCGTAATGTTAATTTTTTTTTCCCCCGGTTCTTTTAACTGGGGTGTGTGTGTGTGTGTGTGTGTGAGTGGCTGGACACTGTCCCTTCTAGGGAAGCAGTGGTAGGTGTGAGCCTTTTGAGGTTTGAATTCAAGGTATCCGATTCACCTGCACGCAAGAGGGATTTGGGTTGGTCTTGAAATTGGCAAGAAAGAGGCTCTCTCTCCTTTCCCTCACCCTTCACCGCCGAGATGCTTTCTCTCTCGCAAACTTAACGGTCGGCCCAACTCAAGGTCTCCCTCTCCTGTGCCTGAGAGACTGAAGAACACCCTGTGCTTCTCACTTTATATAAAAAAAAGGAAAAAATAAATAAACCTCTGCAGCGTTGGTTTTCTTTGTTTTCCAAGGGGAAAAAAAAAAAAAAGCACAGCATTTTTTTTTGTCTTTAATGAGAACAAAAAAAAAAGTGCATTTATGATAAATGTTTCACTATTTGGCTCAAACTGAGCAAAAATGTTTTTTGTACTATTCTTAACACGGGATTAAAAAAGTCGAACTCTCTGGGGGAATTTTATTTTTTGGGGGGGGGGGTAATTTTGTTCCTCGGGGCGTCCTTCATCCGCTCGATTAAGTCACGTGTGAAAAATTACCTCCCCTCCTCCTTTCTCTCCCATCTCCCTCCCCCCACCCCCACCCACTCCCCCCAAAAAAGTTAGGTTTTAAGTTCGAACGTAATTGTCACCTCTTCCGTAGCAGTTCCGTGTTCCACTGTTTTGGTCTTGTGAGATTCCAAGTCTTTTTTCCGTTTGTGATGGAAATTTCATCTCACGGCTTCGGGTCAAACTCACGTTTCCTTTCATTTGTTTGGGAAGGCGAATATCATGCACTACAGAGGAGCTGTTCCGTGTAAGGCCTCTGCAGCAAGTACCTGTAAAATAAAAAAAGTATTTAAACATTGTCTTTACAGTCATGCTACTTTGAAAAGCTTAGAAACCATCCATTTTGTTCTTTGAAAGAAGAAACTCAAAGAGAGAGAGAGAGAAAGAGAAGACTAGACATTTTGTTGAGTTTTCCATATTGATAGGGACCGAAAAGTTCCGCCTTACAAAACATCTGAATGCTTTGTATTTGTATATGGGACAGTGGACGTAACTTGTGAAACTCATGTTTAGCTTGAGACATGTCTGTTTCCAAAACAACACAACTGGCTGTTTAATTCATCATGATAGCTTATGGTTTGTGGCATTGTGTTTGCATTTCACACCTGGGGGAAAACACACACACACAAACACAAACACACACACACACAAACACACACGCAAATGATATCATAACACTTACCTATCTTTAAAGTAGATTTATGGTGCAATCTGAAATTTATCTTTCCTTCCCCCCTCCATAAAATGTACTCTCCTCTTTTTTGTGATCTATTTATTTTGATTTAAAAAAAAGAAATTCTGGAAAAATGTATGTTTGAATGTATTGTTCTACTTGTAGCAGAACTTTTTAAGTTAATCATTTGTTGTAATGGAAGCCTCTGCTCAGTGTTGAAAAGAGTTTTATACAAATGTTTGTGTCTTTAGTTTGCAGGAATGTTTACAACCTGTTCTCCTTCATTTCGTTTCATACTTCACTTTTTTATAAAATAAAATAGTTTTTGTCTTTGGCAGATTTCTGTTGCGAAAGTGACAAAGAAACAAAACAAAACTATAGAGGTGGGGAGAGAGAAATCTCATTGAATTGGCAGCAGTGTGAGAAATGCATTTTTTTTAAATTAGATTTTTCTGAATAAAATACTAACCAAAATTATGACTTCCTAGAAAGTTAAATCTTTAATTTGTATTTGTAATTGCCACAAAATGTTTATTATATTTCCAGGAAGTTTACTGGAAAAGCATAATGTAGAATTTTATATTTACAGCTATACATTCCAGACTGATGTACCTAGTGGCATTAATGTATTAGGTCTCATTTTCTCTTGTATTGTAATTTTTGCCGTATTTCATACTTATGTTAAACCTGCCAGGCATCGTATTACTAAATTGTAACTATCAAATAGATAATATATTTAATATGGCCAATAAAAATAAACAAAAAAATGTTCATATTTGGGACTGTGGAGTTGTGTGTCTCCTCTATCGCACGTACATCCCGGACAGTGTACAACCAGGGTCTCCAAACTTGGCAACTTAATAAGTTGTGGACTTCAAGTCCCAGAATTCTAGGAGCTGAAGTCCACAAGTCTAAAAGTTGCCGTGGTGTGTAGGAATGGGCCAGAACCGTAGATCAAACACTTTCAAAATCCCGCTTTATTTCTTCTTGACACCATCCACAAACGACATCTTATGCTTTTCATCGTCACATGAGTGACATGTAAAAATAGACCATGGTGGTGCAGTGGTTAGAGTGCAGTACTGCAGGCTACTTCTGCTGCCTGCCGGCTGCCTGCAATTTGGCCGTTTGAATCTCACCAGGCTCAAGGTTGACTCAGCTTTCCGTCCTTCCGAGGTGGGTAAAATGAGGAGCCAGATTGTTGGGGGCAATAGGCTCGCTCTGTAAAACAGCTTAGAGGGCTGTAAAGCACTGTAAAGTGGTATATAAGTCTAAGTACTATTACTGTTTTCCTCCCTCCCTCCCTCCTTCCTTTCTGTCTGTTAGAATGGCAGGCTAACTGCCCACTGCCAGTAGTTTGATTCCCACCAGCTCAAGGTTGACTCGGCCATCCTTCCGAGATGGGTAAAATGACTCGTCTTGTTGATGCTGACTCTGTAAGACCACTTAGAGGGCTGTAAGGCATTGTAAAGCGGTATATAAGTCTAAATACTATTGCTATATTCCTTTAGTATTCAGTGGTCAAGACTGAGCGGTGTTTTGTTTTCAACCAGTTCCAAATAAAGTTTTGTTCAAACTACCTGGACTTAGTGACCTTTGGCCTCCCAGAACATTTCTCTCCAGGTAGCATCAACCAGGCTGGATATAACATGACGCTGATGTCCTTTGAAATGCTTCTCCATCAGATGTGGGCAAATTAATTCAGATGATGACATCTGGTGCAGTTTATTATTCCCAGAAGAACTGACTATTTTTTTTTTTGAAAAGCCAAAGACCTGATGCTAAAACATGGGGAAGAAAGATCATTCACTCTCTGGTTTAAAAAATATTTCCTTACTACAGTTAAACAGGGAGCATTAAACTAGGAGCAAATAATAAAAACAAACAAACAATCCAGAACCCAGCACTTCCTTTCCATTATATTTTTATACACAGTAAAAAAGATGGTATTTCTATCAATTACCACCAACTTTTCACGTCCTTCAACGTACGATGCCAATGGAGCCCAACATTTATGTTGCTAAGTGAGACATTTTGTTAAGTGAGTTTTGCCCCATTTCATGATCTTGCTTGCCACAGTTAAGTAAATCATTGCAAATGTTATTAATGTTGTTAAGTGAATCTGGCTTCCACATTCACTTTGCTTGTCAGAAGGTCGCAAAACGGAATCACGTAACCCTGGGACCCTGCAACCGTCTTAAATGCGAGTCAGTTGCGAAGCGTCTGAATTTTAATCATGTTACCCTTGGGGATGCTGTAACAGTAAGTGAGAAACGTTCGTAAGTCACTTTTTTCAGTGCTGTTGTAACTTGGAACAGTCACTAAATGAACTGTTGTAAGTCAAGGACTTTGCCAACTCATAAAATATTTCTTTGGTCTTTTTAGAGTTGCCAACAGAAAGGGAGGGAGGGAACAATACAGCAGCTTGCAAAACCGAAACTGAATTCCATAAATGTTTTCAAAGATAGTAACTAGGTGACTGAAGTTTCTGCTGCACAAAATTCTAACTGGAGAACATGATTGATGGCTCTTGGCTATGGATGTTTCCCATTGGAGAATATGAATTATGTGATGACCCGGGGTGTGGCACAATAGCAACAAAGTCACAGAAGTCCCTTTAATTCCTCCAGCGTGGCCTCCAATGTTTAGTTATCATCGGCTGGAGAAAAAAAACTTCCAAGAACAGTTTTTAAAGGGAAGAAATTTAGTCCGAACCAGAAGTACATACAAATTATAAATAAAAACCAACACAAACCACGCTGCAGCAATTAATGAAACAGGGCAGGATAAGGAATTGCAGAACTCAAAAGATAACGAAACACATACAGTTGGGAGGACGCCAGAACCCAGACAAGACTTGACAATGCCCTTTTTAAATCCTGTTTTGCCAGCTGCAGCCAATGAAGGGAATTAGGGCCTCCTTCTCCCCCATAACCCACGTTGCTCCCTTATCCGTTCCTCCCTGTGAGCCACACCCACTCCCTGTCAGCTGCTCGACCTCCCCCTCAGAATCAGATTCCAACAGGAGCATAACAAATTACGATACACCCAGTGGGTGGGAAAACCAGGGTCAAGGGTGACAATGAATAATGTGTCTCACAGTCGGCTACACGGCTACATCCAGGCAGTGCCAGACAGTCTAACTCCCAATAAATCCTCTTTTAAGTTTTGGAAGTTTGGCTCAAGACTCATGATTTAAATGGGGGTAACTGCCAGAATCCTGACAGTCTACCTGTAATACAACATATAACATCCCCATAATGCATGAAGGTTGGTATACTAATGTCCCCTTCTTGGCTACAGATGATTTATTGTACTCTGACAGATCTGGAATATAAGCAGTTTGGCTCCAATGGATAAATTGAGTATACTTTCAAATTCTTAATTAGAAAGCAATTAAGCTGCTCTTGGGGGAAAAACGAAGCTAATGCAATTTCAAAACTTTTGTTTTTTTAAAGAGAGGGAATGTATCCCCGGAGTAATAAGGATGAATAGATTTTTCCACTCCAAGTCAAAGAAAAACATCTTTATTTTGAGAGGAGGAATTTGTCTATTTGGGTGTTAAAAAGAGAAATATTCCGCCATTATCTTGAGAACTAACATTGCATCAGAAGAGCTCTAAAGAAAAACCATACGGCACTTTAAGAACTAATATTCACATCAAATCAGGCCTTGACTAAAAGCAGCCAAGATTAAGAATTAACATTCTTTTAGGAAAGATTATTTAACGTATATCTAACTAAAAATATGTCAATGATATTCTGAATTATACAACAATGTATTTTTGACTTCAAGGCATTTTCTAAAAAAATTAGAAGGACCTACCTCATTAAAGTGACAGCAAAGTTTATGGCTCTTCTAACAAAGAGGATATAAAGGCTGTAGCTTATTCAACCTGATCAGACTGCATTAGACCCAAAGAAATACACGAGAAGTACTATCAGATATTTATTTATTAAATTAATGTGCTCCCTCTCCTGTTTCACAGTGACTCTTTTGGAATGCCATTAACAATATTGCCATGAAGCAGAAAATGAGGAAATGGCTTTTCATTTTTCTTGAAATGAAAATTCGAGTTGGCCTTTTATATTCTTGAAAAATACAAATTATCGCTCAGATTTTCTTTCCCAGATAGAAAGGATTTACAAGAATCCAAAATGGTTGTGCCTGGAATACTATCACAAAAAATGCAGAAATACAAAAAGGCCAAATCTTACGTATTTGTGGCATTAGAACCACTAGGGGTGGTGAGAGTAAAATTTAAGGAACCAAACTGGCAAATCAAACGCAAAAAAGGTATATGTTGATGATGCTCTATGGGCAGTTTGCGCGCCCAAAGAATTGTCATACACAACATTGTACGAATTGAACTGAAGAGGAAAACCAGCATTTGAAACAAACATGACTGAATATCACTGTAGAGCTGATTAAATAACAGCATTAAAGTGATCCGTTTTAAACTAACCAATTTACTTAATTAGAAACGAAGACGTACTCATAAATAATTATCTAGAGAGCTGGAAAAAAATACAATGGCTGATA